AACTTACAACGGATAGTTTGATCAAGTCCTTAATAAGACAATAAATTTAATTTATAAAATATATTATTTTATTTTTTATTAAAATATTTAAGTTTCACCAATTCTCCCACTATTTTAATAAAAAATAAACATTTCTTTTAGGTAAAGATGGATTATTATGCATAATAAAGGTAGTTAAACCTTGAACTTTTGCTTAGTGAGTTAACAATTCTTAATCCAAAGTCAATAGTAAACTAAGTTTTGAACTATGATCCTATTGAAAGATACAAGAATTGTATCACACATAATGATCCGAATGTTGTATTTCGGTCATTAAGAAAATGTAGCAGTATGTTCGAGGTACTTAATCTCGGACTTATCCTTACACCAAGGTCATTGATCTCGGAACTATGCCTATACATTTAACTCAAAAGAAAATGATGAACAGATCGAAGATTTGTAGTTCAACTCTAATTATGAGTGGAAGAATCAAAATATTAGCATATACAGCCAACGCAACTCAGCACATGTTCCATTAGGTAGAAAATTAGAGAAATTTCCGAGTAATATCCTCTACCATATATTCTTGCAAGTTGCACCCCTCACCTTTTTCGTATATGTGCAAGTCAAGCAAATTGATTTTTCGAGTGTTGACTAGGGATGTCAACGGGGCCCTGCGGGGCTGGGGACCCCTTCCCCATCCCTATCCTCGTATTCCTCGCGGGGATTTTTGACGGGGGGCAGATTTTGCCCCTCGCCCCTGTTTCCCACGGGGAACGGGGATCCCCGCGGGGATCCCCATTCCTCACCAATTAACATCAAATAGGTCTAGCAGCAATAGCAAAGCAGATTGCTTAGGCTGTTCAGCGATAGTAGCAGTAGCAGCAGATGGCTCCGATGGCGGTAGCAACAGCAGATGGGTTCGGCAGCAGCAGCAGATGGCTCCAGTGGCAGCAACAGCAAATGGGTCCGACAGCAGCAGCAGATGGGTTCGGCAGCAGCAGCAGATGACTCCGGCAGCAACAGCAGAGCAGATGGCTTTGGCTATTCAGCGGTAGCAACAGCAACAGATGGGTTCGATGGTGGCAGCTGGCAACAGCAGCAGAGCAGATGGCTTTGGCTGTTCAGCGGCAATAGCAACAACAACAGAGGAAACTAAAGGTGAGATGGACGTGAGATGTGAGATTGAGTGATGAGAATTAAAATAAATTAGAGTTAGGGTTAAATGTAGGGGAATGAGTTGGGTTGAATAGTATTGGGTTAAATTTAATTGTAATTAGATTGAATTTGTGTTTGGGTTTGGGTTTAGGTTTGAGTTTAAAGAATAAATTAATTTTAAAATAAAAACTTTTTTTTTTTAGGATGGGGATCCCCGCATGGCTCCGCAGAGTGGGAAAAATTTCCCATGAAATTTCACGGGGAGAAAATGATCTCCATCCCGCCTCATCCCCGTGACGGGATCCCCGCGGGGAACAGGGAGAATTGCCATCCCCTGTTGACTTATAAATTGGACTAATATCAACCTGGTTTCTTTTTGGTTAGGTGAGCGTTGGCAGAAATGTCATTAATTTGTTGTTTTTATTGGTCTTCTCAAATCCCGTAGAGTATTTAGGGAGTTTACTTTATTTTTAAATAATTTTTGAATTTAAAAAAAAAATTAGTGT